ATCCTCTAGCAATTTTCGTAACACCGATGTTTCTAACATGCAAAGCCAGCTGGTATTAGCAAGTTTCTTTGCAAAAGAAAGACTTTGTAAGCTGAGTGTAGACAGCCTGTGCCTTTCTATCTTTCGCTCTGACATGGGTTGTTCAAATCTGGATTAAGATAACCCAGGGTTATCATTGAATTTGATTTCAGGTCTGAAAGCTTTAAAAGAAAATTCAGTTCAAATCTTTTTACTTGCAATTTGATCATTGGATGTTCTAAAAAGAATAGGGAAAATTTTCTCTAAAAGGCTTTGGAAAAAAGAAATATAGAAAACTGCATTAAAATTTAACCCTGGGCTAGCACTAATCGGCCTTTGAACAACTGGGCCCTGAATTCTAAATTAGATAATACCACGTAGTATTAGAACTATTCTACAACCTTTTAAGTCATAATTATAGAGAAAATATCGTAGAAACTACTTGTTGTTGATCAGGTGTTTCCTCTCTTAGGTGATAATACATGCAACGGATGCTCACGAAAACAAAATTGACTGTGACACAACAGCCGGTTCTTTCGCCGTTTTAGTTCGTACACGCTATCGAAAAGGTGGTTATGCTGACATACACAGGGAACTATGTTTTGCGTATTAACAGCCTGGCGAGTGCTGTTAAGATAAGATTTTTTTCGTTGCTGTGGTAGATGATCTGTTGGGAAAAGGAAATGACTGCTTCAGATTAGCGGCCAGAAGATGACCACAACTCAACTAACAGAGGGTGGAACACAAACCAAAACCATTCAAGAACTAGCCTGTTCCCGGTCCATCGCAAGTGCAGTACAACCGTATGCATATTATTTCTCGACAATCCACATTCTACTTTCCCGCAATTCAATTCTTGCATGGCATTTCTCTCATCCTTGTTGCTCTTTACAAGGAATCCTCCCTTTATCCGCCGTCTAAAGTATTTTATCGTTGCCTCGCGTAGACAGTTGCCTCGTGTAGACAGTTGTCTCGCTTTTTTTGCAGGGCTGAGATACAGACAAATTGCAACTTTAATAAAGAGCATACATACTATCAAGGCCACTATTTGTATCGTATCGCGTATCGCCCGGCTGTGCTCTAGTTTAGATTACCTTTCACTCTTCTGGTATGGCCTTATAATTATAACATCTCGCTTAAAAATATTTGTGAATCCTTCACAAATTCTGTGATCTTCTAGGGACCAATGAAATATGTCTACTTATGAAAAAAAATTAATAATCGTCTAACTAATTCTAACGCATTACTTTTTTTCGCTGAAAGATCAAGTGTTAGAGCGATTAAAGCAAAGAGAGTTTTGGAGAAAAAACCTCACTACAATAAACGTCTTTCTAAACTTGCATGAAGAGATACAGAAACCACTGAAAAGAAATTCCAACGGCCAATCCTAGTTAACAGGTCCACTTTGTAGCATACCAGAAAAGGAAATCTTTCCATGCGAGTAAGCTGTACTCCAGACGGGCGATTTTCTTGTCCTGCACGTAGGCCGTGCTCAACTGTGCAATGAGTATGTTCAGAAGAATCACAATCACAGTTCCCATTTACGTCATCATCAGCAGAATTGACAGCCAGCTGCAAAACATTAACAAGATGTAGGTCTGTAAATTTAAAGAAGCTGCGGCACGCAATGCATATACCGCAGTTACATTTTTCACGTAACACGAGTGCAAAGTTGAGACACTGGTGCTTATTTACACCAAACTGCACTCGAAATCATTTTATTACCTATATTTATTTGTGTTGGTCATTTTATCGCTTTTATCTTAATTACCTTGATTGTATCTAGTGTACATTGTAAAATTTGTACTTTTTACCGTAAATTTGTAATGCACATGTTGGCATATTCATATAAATTTTCGCAATGTAAGCTGATTAAATATCCAAGGTATGCCTATGCAAGTAGGCTTTGGTGGTGAAAAATGTATGGGGTCAAATGCATTTTGTTTTGACCATCCTGAGTTTCAAAGTTTGCTCATGCACGGGGGAGGGGAAGGGGGTTGGGAAGGGGAGGGGGTACAAATGCACACTCTCAGGTGACCTCAACATATATGTACCGTCAACCAGGGTATGGCTCTCGGAATCTTGGATCTTAACTAAGGTACACAATTTGACTAATTCGTGCTTTGAATACAGCATCTCCTGGACTTATGCGGCCAAAATAGATTTCATACAAGCTAGAAATCAAGATGAGACGCATATCCCCAGTCCCTTTTTCAGAGTAAAGATCAAAATAATTGAGGCTCAAAAAAAGATCAAGGAATGCTTTTCTTTTGCTTTACTTCTTTTTCTGTAAAACCTTTGCCGATCTCTCAACCAGTCAAAATCAAAATTGAAACAAACCGCGATTTGGTCCATTGTAGTTTCCTGCGCCTTACGCAGTTTGCTAGTTTTTTCTATGGCTTCTCATTGGCTCCTTGTGATATTTTCCTTTCCTCTGATTGGCTCTTCTGATCAATTTGAATTTGGAGCTCGCGAAGTGCATTAGCAAGCTCGACCTCTTCTTGTCAGTGAAATAAATATATGTTATTTGCCGGCTGGGAGGGACGATCCTTAGCCGGTAAATAACATATTTATTTTTTTTAAACTCGGCGAAATTCTTTCCGAAACAACCCGAATGATTTAGGGCTGTAAATACGGCAAGATCTTCCATGAACTGAACAATTTTTGAGCGAGTAAATGGTGGTTAAAATAGAGGTGATGCAAATTCAAGAGAGATGCCTTAGCGAAACATTTTCATTTCCGTAACGACAAAGGTGATTTAAAAGGCTTCCAAACAAACTTTGAAACATTATTTTTGCAATTATTTGTCACAATCTGACACCTGTCAATTAGAGAGCGCGTAACAAAAAAATGTGTAAGAACATTTGAAAAACAACGGAAATAGTTTGGCAAGGACTGTCTCGACAATGTTTTCTTCAAAAACAGTCAATGATCTAATGGAAAGTATTATTAACTCTCATCGACCATTCATTCATGTACGAAAATTTACCTCTTTTCATTAAGTAAACGGCGAGGAAAGTAATTGTGCGTAAATTCAAATTTTTCATTTTGATGTTGTGAGAGTTTGCTCGTTTGTTTGCTGCAATGGCGTGTGTAAATCTGGTCTTTCCTTCACAAAAACTAAATTCGAATGGCACACTCCAACAAGACACAAGGGGATTTAATTCGGCCTTTTATAAAAAATTTCCTTCAGTTTCTTTGTGCAATTTACGGTACAAATGTCCAAATTGAACGGAATTGGAAAGACTCACCGAGAGCGTATATTAGTTGTAGAACTTAAATTAAAACTTCGCTCGCTCTTTCACTACGAACAAATTGCTTGAGAAAATTCAGGTATTAAATGAATGAAAGTTCCATCGTTCAGTTTAACCGTAACGAAATACCTCACGTTTTAACTTTCTAGGTACTTTTTGTGGACGATTAAAATTAACTGCAGACGGTTTTTAAGCCGCTTGTCAACCAAAGTAATGACACTATTGTTTATACAAATTAATTCAGAAACCAATATTTTTCTGTCAACAAAGTGGTTTGAGAGGGAGTAAAGAGAGGATTCATAAGTTATTTATTGGCTTGAGGTAGCGACCGACTTGTTTGCTTAAAATACTGCCCAGCCGGGAAAACGAGATATATTTATGAAAAATGGCAACGAAATTTGGGATGTACTCTGCGATTCACGAAAGCGTTACCGTGGCTCGTGGGCAGAGATGGGAAAATACTGACTGGGTAAAGAACCAATCACATCGCAGGATTCGTTACCGTGCCCTCGTAAAAAATTTAAAAATTGTTATCCATGTATCATCTAAAATACAGAGTTCATTTTTTTTTTCATTAGTCTTCTCCAACAACTTTACAAAGAGGAACATACTGTAAAATTCAAAATTCCTAACTTGTGAGAAAACTGTTTACAGCGAATCACCTGACATAAGATGAAAGGGCATTAAAAACAAAATAACCTTTTCATTACTCAAAATTAGAGTAAACAGAGTTTCACATCCTTTTGTCAAAGAGTAAAGCCACTGATGTCTTTATGTTTGAGTTGTAAATTGACTCCTAACCCTAACTCGCACGTAAGTCAATTTACACCGACCAGGATTAATAACAGCTGGCCGTGGTCTACGTTGTTATTCTCAGGTAAGTAGGCCGTCATTAGCATAAATCATTTCCACAAAAAATTGGAAAGAAAATGCTCCGGCAGAGAGTCTAAAGATTTAATAATTTGGTGTTCAACTTTGGGTGGGTTTCAATAAAATATATTGAAACTATTCTACAACCTTTTAAGTCATAATTTTAGAGCAAATGTCGTAAAAATTGCTTACTGTTGAACAGGTGTTTTATCTCTTGGGTGATAATAAATGCAACGGAAGCCCACGAAAACAAAATCGATTGTGACACAACAGGCGATTCTTTAGCTCGCTTTTAGTTCGTGAACGCTGTCGAAAAGATGGTTATGCTAACACACACAGGGGAAGTAAGTTTTACGCATTAACGGCCGGGCGAGCGCTGTTAAGTTAAGACATTTCTCGTTGCAAAAGTAGATGATCTGCGGGGAAAATGTTCCGGCCGTGAGTCTAGAGATTTAATTTATACAGTGTTCAGCAACGCACCCTTTAGCCATTTAAATTACTTGTCAGTCTTAATGACTTTGGGTGGGTTTCAATAAAATGTATTGGAACAATTCTGCAACTTTAGAACAAATATTGTAAAAATTTCTTACTGTTGGACAGATGTTTCTTCCTTTTTGTGATAATAAATGCAACAGAGGCCCAAGAAAACAAAATTTATCGTGACACAACAGGCGGTTATTTTTTTCATTGTTAGTTCGTAAACGCCATCGGAAAGATGGTTATGCTGACACACACAGGGGAAGTAAGTTTTAATTATTAACGGCCGGGCGAGTGCTGTTAAGTTAAGATATTTCTCGTTGCTATAGCAGATGATCTGTTGGGAAAAGGATAGGACTGCTTCGGATTAGCGGCGAGAAGATGGTAACAACTCAGATTTTTACAGAAGACGGAACACAAACCAAAACCATGGAATGTTCCCGGTCTGTGGCGAGTGCAATACAACCGTATGCGTATTATTTCTCGTCAATCCACATTCTGCTTTCCCTAACAGCATTTCTTGGCAATTCTCTTATCCTTGTTGCCCTCCACAAGGAATCCTCCCTTCATCCGCCGTCCAAAGTCCTTTATAGTTGCCTTGCAACAACAGATCTGTTAGTCGGCCTCGTCGTTCATCCTTTGGCTGTCATCCATTTTATGTCCTATATCTACGAAGACTGGGGCCGTTGTCGATGGACGTACCGCGCAGCTCTCATATCAGGCTATGCGTTATCTTCAGTATCTTTGTTTACGATGACGGCCATAAGCGTGGACAGACTTCTCGCCCTGGTGTTGGGGTTGAGATACAGACAAATTATAACTGTAAAGCGCATCCATGTCATTTTAACTACCTTTTGGATTGTAACCGGTGTCGCTGCTTTATGCCAAAGCTTAAATTACCACATGATATTTTGGTACGGCTTTTTAGTGATGTCTTGCATAATGATCTCATTCGCATCTTACACAAAGATTTTTAGAGCTCTTAGTCATCATCGCACTCAAATACTCATCATGCTCAGCAAAGTCCGAGCCAACCAAATGCACTGAACATTGCACTTTACAGAAAAGCAGTGTACAGTACACTGTGGGTGCAGTTAGCTTTATTCGTCTGTTATCTACCTTCTTGCATTGTGATAGTTTTGTACACTTTTGGTAAAATATCTGCAACACATTTAAACGTCATCGGGACAGTAATGGGTGTTTTAGTCTCCTTTAACTCAACTTTGAACCCGTTCCTTTACTGCTGGAAGATTAGCGAGGTAAGACAAGCAGTAAAGCAGACACTGAGACAAGCACTATGTTGTTTCTAAGGCGAGTTCCTGTTCCGGTCAGACTTGATCCTTATAGAGCTAGGAACTGAATTTAATATAAGTAGAGAGTGAACCAGTATATCATCGGATAAGGAGAATAAAGACCTCAAACGCTTTTGCACTGGTATCACTGTATGGTGAGTGAAAACAACATTGCTGATTTCCTCACAAGTGATGAAAACTCGATAGATAGAACCATATCATTGGAATCGTAACAATTGGAGTTTTCCTTATCATGAGTTCAAAATATGAAATCATCAATGTCCCATATTTGAATGTCCTACATGTGAATCAACCGGCTTTTTAAACGAATTCGCACCTAAATTAATTTCTACAAAGTGAAAATAAACTCATACCTTTAAATGAAATAGGTCGTTTTTCTACAATTGCTAAAAATGCAGATCACCCGCGCGGATTATTGCTTTAAGTAAATTGCTGGTTGCTCTCCACAAACACTCAGTGCCTGCTAAGTTGCCCGCCGAAGAAAATTATTCTACTACATTGCACTCTATGGTTAACTAAACAACTTGAAAGGAATAAAAGTCGCTTAAGTTTTCTGACCAGAAGCCTATACCCTTGATCCTAAAATGCTCTCGTTCTGACTAAAAGCGTTTCCGAGCTTTGGAACTACTTTGCACCTTTCAGCGTATTGAGTCAGAATAGATGTCCGTAAAATTGCTTTCTATTGAAGAAGTGTTTCCTTTTCCTAAGTGATGAAAAAATTCAAGGTATACTTAGGGGAAAAAATTGACTCCTTTTTTGACTCAACTGATAGTACGTGCACGCATGTTAAAAGCCGTGAGATTAAGCGCTATTGAGAATGTCAAGTTCATTCAAATAATTTTTATTAAGAAAGTTTTCACTAATCTTCACTAGGCAGGTGTTGTTAGGACAAATTATTTCTTAATTCAAATACGGAAAACCTGCAGATGAATGAAAAAGGGGCTTATTGCAGGTAGAATAATCGAGATAAAAATTTAATAGGTGTAATACACACAAACATATTCTAATACTAATGTGTTTCCCGTTTTTTTCGTTGAATGAGGCTAAAGCAGCCTCATAACCCAGGCGAATGAATGAATTTTAAAAGCTGACATTTCTGTTAATGTATCAAGCTATGCTTAATATTTCTCTATGAGTAGATCAACGAGAAAAATGAGTGAATTTAGAAGCCAATGTTAGCGAACTGGTTGCCAAAATAAGAAACGCTCTACACCTTATTGTGGAGTAATTCCGATTAGTTCGAGTTTGCGTCACTCCACTGCTCACTGTTTGTTTGGTGTTTCCTCTGTTGTTTTCGTTACTGCTGCTGTAATTGATCTTGTTAACGCACCATTTACTTTCATATCCAAGCTATTGGGAAGAAAATGCTCGAGATTTTTGCAAGTTCACAGGGAAAATAAGTTGAAATAAAACAGACAGAGTCTCCTTGTTGCCACTGTAACAAGCAGCTGTTCATTTTCTTTCAGGCCTCCTCTGTTTTACCATCATTCGCATCATATCCCTACGGAAATAAATTGATTCATATCTTCAACAGAACGCTATGGGCGCCAAAATGCAGGTCGATTATTACCTTATTGCATTAAGGTTTTCTTCCACTGATTTCCAAGGATTCCGATCTTCGCTAAATTCTAGAAGCTCTGGGAAAAAGTAGAGCATTTAGATTGCATCCATCGGAGAACTGTAGGATGCAACCATTTAAAAACTTTTTTTCTTTTATCAGTGAATGTTATTTGTAAACAGTTGAATGGAAAAGACCAACCCCTCCTTCACCTTTACTCTGCCAATTTTTTCCCATTTTTCAGGGCTTCGGGTCAATCATTGGCAATGTCGAGTGAGCTGCGAAATACCATCCACGTTATAATCTACACGAGCAATGTTATTTGCCTGAATGTAGGTCGTGTGTTGAGTATGTTGAGGAGAATCACAATCACGGTCCCCATGTACACCAGCATTAACAGTATTGAGAGCCAGTTTCAACAAAATACAAATAAACGAAACTTGGAAAAGTTCCTTGCATTCAAAGCCAAACAGTAACCATTGCGCGGCGCAACGTACAGCAACGCAACATGACGTAAATAGGCGCTCGACTATTTCGCAGAATTTAATTCTGTTATAGCTTCTGTAGAGAGGTACCCATCATAACCTTACTTGAGGCTTGAGTAGTCTTCTTCAATTGGTCTTTGTTCGTACAACGCTCGAAATCCGCTCAACAAAACATCTCCTACGCCACTAAATGTAAAAGGAAGCAAAAGTAACTGCTTTTAGCAAATTAATATAGGTAAAAAGTTTGTAAAAATAAGTCGGTAAAAATCACCATAAGCGTTTAAGCACCTAAGTAACCCGTACTAACCACAAATCCTATTCAGCTCAGTTGATGGAAAAATCCAAACCAAATCATCGCTGAACAAGTTGTACATGTAATCATTTTATTATGATATTTTTAATAATAATGGGTTGAATCTGTCCGTCATACGAATGATAATGAAAAATAAGGTACTTGTTTTGAGCCTCCTAAGCATCAGTTAGTTACATAATAATTCTTAAGAGAATCAGTGGGAAAGTGTGGAACGATCTGAGAAATTCAGACGTACCTAAATTCATGGCATTGATTAGAACTTTGACGTAATGATAAAAACAAGGCACAAAAAGAGGGAAGAAAGATCTCAGTAAAAACTGCGATGAACCGAGTCAAGTTCTCCTGAATGATCTTAGCCAAGGTTTTTATGTATAATCCTGTAGTCCTAGAAAACATGAAAGGCTTTGTCAGATAAGAAACAATGTTACATAATAAATAGTGAGGTCCCCTGCATTTATGTTACTTAAATTACATTTGGATTTTTAATGATTTTAGATAAATGAAATTCATATATTTGCACTGCGGTGAAGAAACGAGTTTAAGAGATCCTCGCAGCTAAGAACACGACTGAACTAGTAGTTAAAAATAGGACCTGAAAAAAAAAATTCAGGCCCGCACAGGATTTGAACTCATGACCTCTGTTATACCGGTGCAGTGTTTTACCATTTTTCTTTTTGATTGCATCTGGCGTCTTTGCTTTATGCCAAAGCTTAATTTACCACATTACATGTTGGTACGGCTTTGTAGTTACAGCGTTTTGCTTGATGATATCATCCGCATCTTACACAAAGATTTTTAGAGCTCTTAGTCGTCATCAAACTCAAATACAAGATCATGCTCAGCAACATCCGAGCCAACCAAATGCATTGAACATCGCACGATACAGAAAGGCAGTGCACAGTGCGCTGTGGGTGCAGTTAGCTTTATTTGTCTGTTATCTACCATATTGCATTGTGGTAATTTTTACCGCTTTCAGTAAAATATCTCAAACACATTTAGCCGTCAGTGGGACACTAACGCTGATTTTAGTCTCCTTTAACTCAACTTTGAACCCGTTCCTTTACTGCTGGAAGATAAGCGAAGTAAGACAAGCAGTAAAGCAGACAATGAGACTGTTCCGGTTAGACTTGATCCATATGAAGCTAGGAACTGAAATTACTGTTAGTAGAGAGTGAACCAGTATTTCAATTCAGGTATACAAAAGGGAAACATTGACACCTTTTTTAACTCAACTGATAGTACATTCACGCACAAAAGATTAAGCGCTATTGAAAATGTCAACTTCATTCTAACAATTTTGATTAAGAAAGTTTTTGTTAAATGATAAAATTACAATTATAGTTAATCTACAATATCGTAAGGGTTTTCTGCATTGGTGTTAGAAAGAAAAGGAATGGAAATATTATATTATTCTAAGTCATTTAATGTAAATTATAAAAAGGGCAGGTTGATTACTTCGTACGCCTTCTTGGTGGTCTTATCTTAAAGGTTGAGTTTAATCACGTTCTTCTTGTGAGTTTGGCCACGTTCACCTAGTGAGTTTAATCACGTTTTCTTCGTTGTGATCGTGAAGTTGACATGGAACTCGTGATAGGCCGTGTTCTTAAATAAGTTAATTTGTTAGTCCAGGAAGAGTAAATCTCCCTGGTAATAGGTCGCGTTCGACACCTTCGTGTTCCAAGAGGTAATTTAAGGGTAAACAGGTGATGTCCCTCATGTTTTCGCAACAAGAAGCAATTTGGGGGCGGTACTTGTGAGCGCCCTTCTTCTTTAACTCTTGTGACCAAGATGTTGTTATGTAACAATCTTTAAAGGTGATTTTCTCTTAAGATACACTTTTAGGTATAAATAACACTCTACACCAAGGTTATTTGTAATTTTTATATTGTCGATCTCGTTTCTGTTCTGGCCGATCTCAACCGTAAACATATGAAAATTAGGGAAGAAATTGATTTTGTAACTGCGTAGACAACCCTAAGGTGCTTACTCAGTATGTGGGAACTATAATACGTAGTCAAGCGTGATTCGCTAGTTGAGATGGTACGATGACGACACAAGAAGATTGACGGCTTAGAAATGTCATCCGCAGTGACACCTTTACAAGCTCTAGTTTTGCCTGATATATTGAAGCTAGCCCCCATTGTAATAACTTGAGAAGAGAAGCAAATAAAGAAGGATCAACCAGACCACAAACGAGTGTTAGAGAAATCAATTCTTACATTTTAACTAATCTTTACTAGGCAGGTGTTGTTGAGACAAATTATTTCTCAATTCAAACACGGAAAACCCGCAGAAGAATGAAAACGGGGCTTATTACAGGCAGAATAATCACGATATAACATTTAATAGGAGGTGCAATACACACAAACATATTTCTACAACTAATGTGTTTCCCGTTTTTTACGTTGGCTCCATGAGGCTGGAGCAGCCACATAACTCAGGCCAATAAATGAATTTGAAAAGCTGACATGTCTGTTTATGTATCGAGCTATACTAAATATTTCTCTTTACAACTTTGTAAACACTGAGTACAGAATAGATCAATAAGAAAAGAAATGAGTTTATAAGCCAATGTTGATGAACTGGTTCAGTGTCTAAAGAAAGGCTCTGTACTTGATTGTGGAGTAATTCCGATTAGTTCTAGTTTGCGTCACTCCACTGCTCACTGTTTGTTTGGTGTTTCCTCTGTTGTTTTCGTTACTACTGTTGTGATTGCTCTTGTTAACGCACCATTTAATCTCATATCCAAGCCATTGGGAAGAAAATGCTCGAGATTTTTGCAAGTTCAAAGGAAAAACAGGTTGAAATAAAACAGACAGAGTCTCATTGTTACCACTGTAACAAGAAGCTGTTCATTTTCTTCCAGGCCTCATCTGTTTTACCATCGTTCGCATCATATCTCTACGGAAATAAATTGATTCATATATTTAACAGAACGTTATGGGCAGCAAAATGGGGGTCGATTGGATGCACAGATACTCGGAGGGCGGCTGAGTGAAACGTGATGAACGAATGATTCTCACCTTATCGCATTAAGTTTTTCTTCCACTGATTCCCAAGGATTCCGATCTTCACTAAATTCTAGAAGCTCTAGGAAAAAGTAAAGCATTTAGATTGCATCCATCGGAAAACTGTAAGATGCAACCATTTAAAAACTTTTTTCTTTTATCATTGAATGTTATTTGGAAACAGTTGAGTGGAAAAGACCAACCTCTCCTTCACCTTCCCTTTTGCCAATTTTTTCCAATTTTCAGGGCTCCGGGTCAATCACTGGCAACATCGAAACAAAAAGACTTTGGACTATCTTGATTAACAACAAACCTTCCGCAAGTTTCTTTTCACTGATCCATTCTCCTTCCTTGTAGTACTTTACGCGCAAATTCTATAAAATGCAATCAAATTCACGACTGAAGTCATTAAACAATTTACCTCTATAGAAGTAAACACATTAAGAACCTAGCCACGACCTACCACTATACTGAGATGCCATGACTTTTCGAAGCCAGAAGTAAAATGTGAGGCACTTATCGGGTAAGATTTAATTCAAATTATATTGGCAATGCTAGTTGTACACAATGTCACTCTCAAAAGTAAGGCATCTTTTCATTAATCCTCTTAAAGTGCTTTCCCTCCACATGCTGCCCACCTTAATCACACATATCATAGGTTCGTACACACCGTGCTGACATGACCTCAAACCCTTGATAACGCCCATTTATTTGTAATTTAGTCAACGCTTGGTCTTCAAACTTTACAGAAACATACCAGAAAAGGAAATCTCTCCATGCGAGTGAGCTGTAAAATACGATCCACATCATACTCCACACGGGCGACTTTCTTGGCCTGAATGTAGGTCGTGCTCATCTGCGCTATGAGTATGTTGAGTAAAATCACAAGTACAGTTCCCATGTACGCCAGCATTAACAGAATGGAGAGCCAGCTGTAACACAAAATATACACCAAACTTTGTGAAAGTCGGGGCATATTGACAAAAGCCGACAGACATTTCCTACAAAGGAGACAACACCCACAACGAGTGTGGGCGCTTAGCTGTTTTCCTGAGCTGATAATTTAAAGTTGTGATAATCACAATGGAGAAATAGTAATCATAAACTTACTTGAAGTTTGAATAATCTTCCGCAATGGGTCGTTGATCAGACAACGCTCGAAGACCGCTGAGGAACACGTCTCCTATGCCACTAAGTTAAAGCAAAAGTAAACGAAAGAATGAATTTAAATGATTTGGACGCTCACGCAACAAGAAAAGAAACGATTTGTGTCATCGTGACCTTTCAAGTATAGGTTGCCTTAGAATTAATTATTATTATATTACTATATAATAATATATAATAACATATATAATATAATAATAATATATACCTATTAATATATACAGAATTACTCGAAAAAGAGTGATGACAGGCATGAACTGAGGAATTTTAAAATGGCAGGGATTTTATTGATGAAACTGTGAAGCAAACCAAAGAATCAAGGCGTACCTAAATTGATGATTTTGTCCAGAGCAACGGAGAGATAAAAACAAAGCTCCACAGAAAGGAAGGAAGACCACGGCGAAAACTGCCATAAATCGTGTCAGATCTTGCTGGATGATCTTAGCCAAAGTTTTCGTATACAAGCCTGTGGTCCTGGATAGGATGAGATATGTTAGATATGGGAGCTAGATTACACAGATCACAAATCAAAAATCACAAAACTGTGTCTATCTCAAACACAAATAACGTATCCTGTAAATAACGCATAAGAAATAACGCATCCTACAATTTAAGTCATTAACATTACTAAAATTGTAGCTTGCCAGTTGTGGTTTACCTTGTCACTGACGAAAACTTAAATATCCTTAGGAAATTGAACAATATAGCTAGAGATGCTATCGTCCACTGAGCTTTGCTACCAGCGTACCGCAGGGGTATGATACAAAGGACCAGCAATAGGCCTAACCAATCAAACAGGGTCATCCACTCCATGAAGTATGACTGCCTCTCTCTGGAGAATAAGAGGCAAAATCAAGTTTTGATCATGAGCAAAAACATAGTTAAGGTCTGAAATAACTTTATCTTTAGAGTTAAACAAAAAATATTGAGACTGAGACTTATCCATAGCACTCAATTACGTTCACTTGTCATGTGTTACCCCCCATCCCCCCTCCCTGTAGCAGGTTATCTCGGAAAGGAGGTAGCACAGAAAATAACAAAAATTCCATGAAAATGATTAAACATTCATAAATAACATTATATGTTCTCATACGTCGCATGCAATAATTGGAAAAAATAATGACCATTTTCAATATTCCTGTTCACAGTGTAACAGTGATCATTTCATCCTTGCCTTAACCCTTTAACTCTCATGAGTGACCAAGACAGAATTTCTCCTTACAATATCAACACAGAATCAAGCAGACAAGTGAGGAGAATAAAGAACAAAACTCAATAAGGGGAATACAAATTTTGATCCACTAACAAATTCCCCAATTTGAAATCATAAGTGTTTTATGGCAAACATTAGGGAGAATCAGAAATGAGATCTTGTGAGTTAAAGGGTTAATTAACCATCAATTACTTACATACACATTTGATTGATTTCTTCACCGAAGTAAAAGGTAACCACAACAAGGGAGACGATCTCACAAAATCCACGGAATGAGTCTCCTGCATCCCTGTACTGGGTAGGGTCCAGTTTTGTAGAGGCATGAAGCAAAGAATATGACAGGAACAGCAAGAAGATGACATACAAAGCTGCTTGAAGGCTGTGTGTATATGTGAGAAAAATATTAAAATACATAATTATGCCACACTTTGCAGTAAAGTAAGTTACAGAATATACAATCAAAGAAGTTAACAAGCTAGATTTGTTTACAGGTATTTGTTCTAGTTGCAGCTTTTCGGAACTGAATATCCAACAAAACTCAACCCTGTAAGCTACTATGTACACAGCACCAAAGCTCCAACTGATCATGAACACATGTCAAAAATCATCCAATCTGTACAGTTGATTGAACCACAAAAAATTAATGCAAATCTAACAGATTTCACAGGAAATAATTACAGGTTTAGATCAGGCATTTTGATGAGATAAAACTATGTGAAATTATTCATTTAAATCATCCATGAAATCTTCTTGCCAATACTTGTTGCGATGAATGGCACATTGGGTGTGCTTCAGTGTTGATTAGCTTCTCATTACCTACCAAAATAACAAAAACAAGATCACCTCAGAAAAAAGCGTCCATAGCTTTTCCATTTGGTCTTAACCAGCATTCTGACCACAGGATGTTGTAATGCCTCCTGAAAATGAAAGTAATCTGTTATCAGTCCAGTTTAATAAAAAAAAAAAACAAAACAAAACAAAAACAAACAAAACAAAACAAGCCCAGTTTATTTCTAAATTTTCTTTGCATGGAGAACATTTTTATTTGCAATGACTAGTTGGTTTACCATGTACAAGGGTGCAATGCAGCTAAAGCACATGTGTGCTTCTCCTATCAGGCAGTGGATAACATATTCTGTTCATCTGTTTTCAAAACAATTAAAAGCTGGAAACACACAAAATTTGTCTAGCATGCATTCCCCTTGATAATTGTAGTCCCCTTTCATTTAAGTTCATAGAATGATTCTGCATTGCCTAAAATATTCATGTAAACAAGCAAGTATGGGGTAATTTTCCCTCTTTATTCTGCAAGTAACAATCAGTACAATCAAGTTAAGCAAAATGAAAGTAGACCCATACTCATGCACTAGAAAAGATGACAATAGTTTGTTTTCAATCTAGAACCATTACCATATTTTTGCTCTTTGCAATAACATGTAGACAAGACTTGTCTCTTGGGTTAAAATGTTCATTAATGGTCTGGACTTCTCCATTTGACTGCAAAAGCAATGGGGGTCGTCCTCCTTCATCTCCATCCAAAATATGATAACAAAAATGATACTCTAGAGGATCATCTGTTATTGTACGCCAAGCCCCTTCAATTCCTTCCATCTCTTCATCAGTTTGATAGGTTTCTTTAAGTTTAGGAAGGTAAGGCCAGTGAGGATTCACCATCTGGTCAAGCACAGCCACTACTGTTTTCTATGAATACCGTGAAAACTATGATGAGATAATATATTTTGTAAAATGGGAGGTAACAAGCCATTCCAGATGTGAGCTATGTTCATTCATAAGATTCACCAAAGCTGTATCTATCACTGCAGTGACAACTGGGGGCTCTCAGTTAATTCAAGGGAATAAAATCAATGTCTAGAAGTGTGTGGCAACATTTCTGAAGGATACTAGAGCTAAACTGCAAAGGAGTACCCATGTAACACAAAAATGTAACACATGCAGTAGGTTTTCTGGACTCTCACACCACAAACAACTCATTAAGAGCTGCAACATATTGTAGTATTACAATCCAAGATAGATACAAAACTCTGACCTTCATATTTGGGTTCTCAACTATGGACTTGAAACTAAAGAAAGACGGTTGAGGATTTGCAGAATCTTCTGGTCTCCAAGAAAATAAACTTTGAACACTAAATAACAGAATTAAGAAATGAAATAATGTCCAAAATGTTTGTCAACTGATCACCACCCTTAAAAAAATATGCATGCATTTTAATTCTCTCCTCATTCTAGCATTATGTATTTTGCCTAGCTTTAAGTTTATGACAAAGATATACATCTAAATTAAGTTAGAACTTTATACACATCCACTGTCTAATCTACGCCCAGGTATAATCAGTAAAACAAGCATACAAAAATGACACAAATACATGTTCACACAAGGTTCAAAACTAAATCAAACTGTTAAGTCACTTTCTAACCTACTGGAGGAAAACAGCCTTTGGCTGTACATTTCTTGCTTTTATTAAATCATTAGTGTAACCCTCAAAGCAACAGGTCCTAGCAGTCTTTGTACCTTTCAAGGTGCATCATTTGAACCAAATATGCTGCCACATTGTCATTCTCTGCCAATAATGCCAAATCAAGTGGTACCAGGCCCCTCTTTGTCTTAACAGGTTCCACTGTCTTCATACTTAGCAGCAAAGGATATCTTTTTACAAGTGTTTTTGTGACATGTAAAAATCCAAGTTCTGCAGCATAGTGCAGCAATGTCTTCTTTCTCCTGTCTGTTTTATCTCTGAAAGTCTCATATCTGTTATCTGAATTCACTTCACTGTCTAAAAGAACCTCCAAATAACGATTCACCTGGAAGAGAATACAATGTCCAATATTCTCAAACATGATTAATAATTATCACCAACCCAATTTGAGCACTTGTAGGACAGTGTAAGCATCATGCTTAGACAGTCTATGCATTATTCCTGTGTGATTGAACACTACATATCCTGTGTGCTCTGTTGTTGTTAATTTCACTGAAGTAACGACTGATTTTTTTTTTCAGAAAAACTATAGCCTATGGCTTAAAAAGTTTGTTTCTCAAATTTTGTCATATTTTTTATTAATTGAACTTCATGTCACCAATTTCAGTCTGTGTCATATGAATAATTAACAAAATGAAACGAATACAATCAAGAGATTGATTTTGTCAATCATGGGTGGGACTCTAACAGTGTCCATGACAGGACCCCACACTCAATCTTACTGGGTAATAATAACAGTGTACCTGCCTCTAAATGCATAATAGAAACAGCCAGCACAATTATCTTAAATTGGTTCAATGTAAATGCACTTCTGGTTTTTAGAGCCAGATTTTAACCTTTCTCAGTATAGCTGCTGAAATTCAACCTGCTATTCATTTATGTTTGAAAAGGAAAAGCAGGAGCCTTCACTTCATGTTGGATAAGAAATGAACAAAATGAACATTATTGCTTTCTAAGATTGATCACAACTTGAAGTCCATGTTTTTTACGTGGAAGCAACTCCAATCAGTACATAGTATGTTACTTTTCTAACCTAAAAACCTGTAATATATTACATTTTTTTAACGTAAAAACCTGTATTATGTCACATTAAGAGCACTTTACGATGGATTTTCACAGCTAGCAAACCTATTCACGTGCACCCAGTGGCGTCATAATTTCCACGTATTTTTCATCAATTTATGATTTGAGTTTTATTTTCCATCAGCAATTTTTCTGAATATTTACACTACACATACCATCTGTTCAAGGCCTGAGAGATCTTCAGGATTATTTTTGTACTGTTTAGCAGCTGGCCATTGTTTTAACATCAGCAGTGCAGGATCTTCACGAGCCATTTGTCCACTGTCCTTGTATTTCTGGATCATACATTCGACACAAACATCATCCATTGCTCTTGTCCATGAAAAACCTTCATTCTGCTTTTGATGAACCTATAAAGAAACAGTCGCACTCAATATCTACATTTTTTTAAATTTAACAAAGACCCAGGGCACTGAGATAAGACAGATTAGCGGAAAACATATTCATCATGACAAATTTGAACCGGTGTTACATACTTGCTTTTCACTGGAAAATATCACCGTACAATTCAACTTTATTACCTTTTTCCAGAAATTTCTGTCATACTCGACTGAAAACGAATCTTTCCTCGGATAAACTTCAATTTGAGGTTCACCATTACGCTCTTGTTCTTCTCTTTTCATAATTAAAGCCATTTTTCATCCAGCTCTAGGTTGTAGGTATGTATGAGCTCTAAACCAGACTTTTGTTTCCCAGAACACCCAGCTCCTTTCAAGACGAAGCTTAAACGCAAGGTTTTTCGTGTTTCTCCACTGATGTGACACAGTTTGTTCAAGACACCTCTTATTATGGGTAAATACGCTCAGTCGGTGACGCTACATTCATCTTGTTAGTTCGCAATCGTTTCCAATGCCTCTTCCTCGGCCAGCGGGTTAATTTGCGGGCGCACGGTGTGGGGATATGTTATTCCCACCGGCTCGATCATAGAAGAGATTCCAAAGGTTTACGGCCTTCGTTAGCGTATTTAGTAATTCAGCGAGTTAATTTTGAAATAAATGTGACATACGTATCGGTTTAAGACCTCGCCTCTGAGCATTTCGGTCGAAGAAAAAAGAAAGAAAGGGGCCTGTATGAAAAAGTTTGAGGACAAACATCTTCATTGTGTTTCTTTTCAGTTTCGGCAACACTGATATCCTTCCATCAGACGGTTCAAATTTTTAAATCATGCACCAAACAATTTTTAGTGATTGGTAAAATGATGAGAATAAAAATATTGAGTCTAATAAAGATAATGGTATTGATAATAGTTACGATACAGTAAAAATAATGATAGTAATCATTATTAGATTTTCAACTCCAAATATTGCATTTTTAGTGTTTTGATTGGGTCACTCAACTCCAGTTATCAGCTCATATTCTGAGTCAAATCATGTGGCAATGCATTGCGCCAACGGTAAGGGGGCTGAAAAAAAGGCTCCAAATGTTCAAACGTGCAGGATTCAATGAGAACCAATCAAAGTAATGACTATTAGTTCGAGCCAGCTCGGCGTTACGCGCCTCGTTGCGGATTTATCGTCTCATATCCAATTAACGCGCTCTCATGGACTTATCGTTAACTATTCAGAGAATGACAGGAGTTTCTATGCCCTTTCATCACTATAGGAAGACGCTATGGGACCTAAAACTCAAAGTAAAATTAATATAGAACTATTATAAGTGTTCAGATTTCAACAAGTCCTACTTTTCCTTAATCAGAATAAATAAACTTGAGTACAATTTCTCTTTAAAAATGTCGACCAGCATCTTAAAATTGTTTGGCCCTTCTAGCTTGAAAAACAACTCATCACTGATTAAAATATATCAACAAAGTAGAACTTACAATTTTGGTAGAAAGAAGATCGTGAAGTCATACATATCACGAGAAAAGGTGTGAAAATTAAGTCCGAGAAATCCAAAACGACCACTGATTCATCAAATAAATGAGAGAAACAGACATCGAAAAAAGAAATATCAAAACCCGTTTTCTCACAATTTTCTTTTTAACTGAGGCTGTGACAGGTTTTAAGGATGTTCAGAAAGACTTGCTCGTAAATTTTTCGGTTGTTAAAATAATGAATGGAACGACACAAACATGCGAATGCAACCAAAACGACTCCATGATTAACTCTCCCATGTGGCCTAATTTGTCATCAAAGAAAGTGATACTAATTCCAGAGAGAACTTTTGATTACTGCGCAATAATATATTTTTTTGCGGGTTTTAGAAGTCACATGCTATAAAAGTTGTGCATATTCCTCGAGATAAGCCCAATTTGTGCCTTTATCAGTTTCTCCAAGCGTCAATCCTTTTGATATGATAATGAAACTCGTTGATATGTGGCAAACCATGAGTTCACAAAATACATTTTCCAGTGCGTAATTTCACATCCATGCACTTTCATATTTACCTGTGGTATGTATATTGTAGCTTTTCGTCGAACTCCTTTACAGTTTTAGTCAGTATTAGTTGTTTTTACCTACACCAAGAAGTGTCACACCGCAGCAGTCCAAAATGAAAAAGTTTTTTTTTCTGTGCACTGAAAGCGACAGCGACGAAGCTCAAGAACTGCAAGATCTTTTACGAGGTAAGCTAAGAAACTTTGCTGAACTAAGAACTATTGCTGACGTTATAGCGAACAGGCAAGATTTCGGAAAGATGCTTCGCCGTAGCGAATGCGTTGTGCTGATCGGATCACGCCAAGCTTCTTTCCTTATCCAAAACAAACAGCAAGAAATTGAAGAGGATTACATCACTTTTGACGGAAAAGTTATTTACGATGAGTTTGCACAAAGTAAAGAACTCGTGGACAGACTCATTATTGTTTTCCTGGAGGAAAAAACCAAGAGTGATTGGATTCCAATTGGTTTGGACGAGAAAATGATCTTCAATCTTAAAGGCGGAAAAATTTTCAGAGGAAATCCCTCCCTAACCCATCTTGAGTACACCATAAGAAGAGTGTTGGGGCAGACGGCGCTGGATTGGTAGAAGTGAACAATTTCAGCTGTTGATAAAAAGGGCCGTGACAGCCATTATGTTTGATTGAAATTGATTTTGTGTACCAAAAGTTTGTTTACTCAAAAATATTACTGACAGAAATACTTTATGGATGAGCCAAGAATTAAGGATACAGATGATGTTTATGATGAAAAATTGATTAGACGGAATGATTACAAAAGATCAACGAAATATCTTATTATAATAGTGTGTAATCAGAAATGAACTACAGTGAGAACAACCATCAAATGAAATAATTCTTGATAATGCAATAAGGGTGTCATATAGAATAAATAATTTAAGATGTAATGTTTCATTTTTGGAAAAACTTGAGTTATTGATGTCTTTAATTCAATGAATATACAATTGAGGAAATAATTAATCGAAATTATCTCTAAAAAATATATTATGTATGGTTGTGAGAGATCGATAATTTTTGCTATTCAAACGCAGTGTATTGCGTAGAGTGAGATACTTGAATAAAGATTTAAAGCAAAAATGATTGTTTAACGATAATTTTAGAGGCGAAAAATACATTTTGGGCGGTGAGGGCACTGAAGAGAGAGAGAATCGAGCGTCGATGGTGCAAACTGACCCCACGCGGGTTTTATTGCTAAGGACTCAGAAATGCCGAATCCTACAGTTTTCATAGAATCCTGATTTTTCTCCCTCATAGATAGAACTAGTTTAATGAAATATCACGTGATACAGTGTAAGTTCGTACCGCGTGCGGAGGGACAGATACTACAGCCGTCATCGTCGACAAAGATGCGGAGCACAACAAATAGTTAACTACAGATGAAGCTAGTGTGGCGAATCGACAAAAGTTGGAACACTGCCCCTGTACATAGAATGGCTACTGCAATTTCACCCAGATTTTAGAATCATATTTCCTCTCAAATTCTATTAATAACTCATTATACCTTTCATGTCTTATTATCATTCTAGTCAAATATGCTGGTGTCTTATTATTCTCATTTATAAGTGCCACTTCAACCGGTAAAAGCCCTCGTTTTTTCCTCGGTGCTATTGTCTTCACTGTTAGCTGCCCAGGATATCTCTTCACAAGTGTTTTGGCGACTTGCAAAAATCCTGGTTCTGTAGAATAGTGAAGCAAAGTCTACCTTGTTTTGTCATTCTCATCTCTAAACATCTGATACCTTTTGTCTGAGTTCAGCTCGCTTTCTAACAAAATTCACACCAGTCTATTTATCTGCAAAACAATAAAGATGAAGAGTATGAAAGTAATGATTAACTGAGACAGAGAAGGGTTGGGTAGCGTGATATTTGCACCCGTTGTTGTACCTTTTAAAGATTTTTTTGGTTGTAAAACATAGACAGCAAGTTTGAAGAGGTCGTCCAATGTCAAATGATTGCTAAGTTGCATAATTAAATGATCAATAAAAAAATCTGATAATGCTAATTACGCCAGCAAAAAAGCATCTTTTTTTTTGGAAAAGTCTGAAAATTATATTTGCAATGACAAATTATGCCAAAAATTTATGCCTTTAACACAATTTCTAAATAATCATCTTAAAAAGAATCTGATAAGGCTAATTACACCGGCAAAATGGCTTCTTTTTTTCTTGGAAAGTCTGAAAATTATATTTACAATAACAAATCATGCCAAAAAATTTGTACTTTTAATACAATTTCTAAACAATTATGTTAAAAAGAATCTGATAAGGCTAATTACACCGGCAAAATAGCTTCTTTTTTCCTAGAAAAGTCTGAATTTATATTTGCATTAAAAAATTATGCCAAAAAATTTGTGTTTTTAATACAATTTCTAAATAATTATCTTAAAAAGAATCTGATAAGGCTAATTACACCGGCAAAATAGCTTCTTTTTTCTTGGAAAAGTCTGAAAATTATATTCGCAATAACAAATTATGCCAAAAATTTGTGCTTTTAATACAATTTCTAAATAGTTTTAAAAACCGTACGGAAATCAACAACTTTAAGATCATAGCGCTGTTTGTTAAACAATAAAAATAGAACTATATTTAATCTGAAATATTGTAAGGGTTTCCTTATATTGGTGATGGGAAAAAGGAATGGAAATATTATATTACTTTAAGCCATTCAATACAAAAAATAATAATAACCAGGTTGATTATTTCTTATTCCTTTTGGCGGTCTCATCTAAGTACAATTTCTTTGACCTTTTTCGTAGTGTGGTTTTGAATTCGGCATGGAAGCAGATGTTCCGTTTCTAAGGTAATTAGAACTTGTTGTAGTATTTTGTGATAAGCTATACTTTTAATTATGTCAATTTTCTAGTTAAGAAAGAGAGTAAATCTCTCTGGTAAAAGTTAACCTCGTACAGGAATTCCTGGGAATTCCTGCTTTTTATACTTTTGATTATTATCAGACTCGTTTTTTGGAACATATCCTATGTCAAATTCATGATCAAGGAATATTTCTTAAATTTCTAGTTACATTGTTCCATTTCGAGCGCTAAATTTGTGAATTTTCCTGGGTGGCCTTGGTTGGAGTAGTCGCACCTTAATACAATTTCTAAATAATTTTAAAAACCGTATGGAAATCAGCAACTAACACGTTTAACACCTCTTTCTTTAGGGTGATTCTGAGTGTAAACAGCTTGTGCCTTTCTATCTTTCGCTCTGGCCTGGGTTGTTCAAATCTGGATTAAGATAACCCAGGGTTAGCATAGAATTTGATTTCAGGTCTGAAAGCTTTAAAAGAAAATTCAGTTCAAATCTTTTTACTTGCAATTTGATCATTGAATGTTCTAAAAAGAATAGGGAAAATTTTCTCTAAAAGGCTTCGGAAAAAAGAAATATAGAAACCTGCATTAAAATTTAACCCTGGGCTAGCACTAATCGGCCTTTGAACAACTGGGCCCTGAATTCTAAATTAGATAATACCACGTAGTATTTTCGGAGGCGGTATTCGTGAACGCCCCTTCTACTCCAAATTTTCTGTTTATTTTGTTGTTATGTAACAATCTTCCAAGGCTATTTTCTCTTTTTATACCTTTTCCAGTGTAATTCTAATTCTGCCAATAGGTTAATAGTAATTTTCATATTATCAATCTTGCTGTTCTGGCCGATCTCAATCGTAAATGTAAGAAATTTAAGGTAGAAAATGATTTTGCAACTGCGTAAATAACTCGAAGACGCATACTTAGTATGCAGGGTCTGTCGTAGGTAACTTAACGTGATTCGCTGGTTGAGATAGAATGATGACGATAGAAGAAGATTGACAGCTTAGTATTGTCACCTTTAGTGCCACCTTTATAAGCTGTTGCATAGCATTTTTCAATCGGATAGAGCAGAATACAGCAGAGTTGAGTTGTGTTGAAAGGAATAAGCCGAACTGTATTGAGTAAGGTCAAGACTGGGCTAGTCCCCGAAAGAAGAAAATTGTACTAGGAGTTCAAGCCAGAAAATAAAAGAATTCAACCGAGTGTTAGAGAAATCGTCTAAAATGTTAGCCAAACTAATGAAATGAAACAGTGAATTGAAATTAGCAATCGTCAAAGTTGAACCATATGCAGTTGAATTGGCCACAGCTTGACGAAGCTGCTACTCATTTAAGGGCGCTCCGGTCTTTCTCTTAGTGTATGACATCTTTGCAAGTTCTCTGCAAGAGTCAAACAGGCTTCCTCTGTAAAGGGTAATAAATTGAGAATTTCAACAGATGTTAGAGCAAAATTATAACAGATCATTACCCTCCGACATGAATTTCCATTTAAAATGAAGGCGGCCATGTGTTTCACGACATTAAATAACTTTTGTGTATGTCTAGACAGCCGCTGCCTTTGACGTGATCTGAATTAATTTTAAACAAAAGCATTGAAAATCATTTTCAAATTTTTTTTTATTCATTTAATTTTTTTTCGCTCGCCTTTTTTTTTTCCACCGCGAAGACTCTCATTTTGTATAATAAGATATTTAAGATAGTATATGCTCTCTCATCAGTCTATAGCCGCGGGTGTGTTTAGATTACAGTATATAAACACCGGTCATACGTTAGTTGTTGAATTAATTTTAGAGACATTTTATAAACCTACACAAGAATATAAGATGCGAAGGCGAAGCTAAGATACCATGACCCCTTTATTTCAAACTTACCAAATAATTACTATCGTCTAAAAGTGGCCAAGATTCAAATAACTTGGCAAATTTATTCCTTACGTGCTTAGCGCGTCCCGCGTGCATGCATGCTAATCACCAAATTCACTTAAAATTTGCGATCATTGAAATTGTCTACAATCATTTTATATTTCATACTTTTATTTATTTCCTCGATCTTTTATGTATTGATGATCTTATTTTCAAATGAAAATGTAGATTACAACATGAATAGCTTCCATTATCGACCACAATTTAAGCTTTGGCAGATTTAACAAACACTAATGCAAAGGTTCGGAGGTGTGCTTTTTTCGTTTTTTTTTTTTCCCGGACTGCAGTCGCTCTCACGCGCCATCTTCACGCTTAGCGTAAACCAACTAGTTTCATAGGGCAATCACGTAATGCCAGGACTCACAACCCACAATTGCAAAAGGAGTAGTAAAAAAGAGTTCCACTGAGACATCAAAATAGTACAATTTTCCTCTCACAGTTAAGACAAGAATCTAACTCCAGGGACATAAAAGTGATCCTCGGATTATCTCCTTTACTGCTTGTCTCACTTCAGTTATCTTCCAGCAGTAGAGTAGTGGGTTTAACGATGAATTTAGGTAGACTAAAAGACCTGTTACACTCCATGCAAGCAACTGTGACGATGATAATCTACTATAAGTTGAGAAAGTTATTACTATGTGATGTGGAAGATAACACACAACTAATACCACCTGCACCCAAAGCGAACTATACACTGCTTTTCTGTATCGAGCTGTGTTTAGTGGAGAAACATGGTTAAGTTGTTGTTCTTGTTGAGCATGATCTTGTACTTGGACCCGACGACGAAGTGCGTGGAAAATCTTTGTATACGATGCGAATGAAAGTGTTAAGCACATGGGTATACCTATTCGGCCATACCAGACTGTTATACGGGGGTTTACAAGATACAGTGATGCTGCAACTATGGCTGTGACCCAAATGTTGACTACAACGAAAGATGCGCGTTTTAAAGTTACAATCTGCCTGTATCTCATCCTTAAAATCAGGGCGAGAAGTCTGTCCAGGCTTATGGCTGTCATCGTCATCAAAGACACGGAGCACAACAAATAGTTAACTACAGATGAAGCTGATATGGCGAATCGGCAAAGATTGGAGCGTTTGAATACCAGGGATAGAAGAAAAACAACAACGACAGGTTGTGCGATCAGTCCAACACAGAGATCCGTCGTAGCCAGACAACGGAACAAGAGCTTGGACGGTCGATGAAGATAAATCGATTCCCTACGCATGGCAACTAAAATCAGAGTGTTCCCAAGAAATGCAGTAATAGATAGAAGGATATTCAAGACTGAGAAACCTTTCAAATATTTGACTGTCCCATCTGCAAAAATTGGCGTCAAACATAACAGATCTTCTGTTTCAGTCCATTTTTCTGAACTAGTGAAGTTGTTCGGCTTCATGATCCTCAAGCAATATTCTTAACACCGATGTTTCCAACATGCAAAGCCAGCTGGTGTTAACAACTTCCGTTTTACGTAGCAGCTTTTGGAAAAAAAAACTTTGCCCACAGGGGCCGCCTGTGGCAACATTGACGCGTTTCATTTTGGAGATAACATATCAGAAGAATATTTCGTGAAAGTTCTCAATAAATATTGTAGAGTCTTAGAAACACAATCATTTTATCATGGCCAGAATCTAAAGGGCAAAAAGTGAGAGAAACATAAAAAAAAAGTTAACGCCGTGTGTGAAGTTCAAGTACTGTTTTCCTCACAATGTCATAATCAAGAACTATTAACATATGAGATATCCGTTTCTCATCTATATTTAATTTGTATTTTTGCCGAAGTCTTGTTCAAGTTATTTGTTCGGGGATTCCCAGTATCCAGAAATTTGTAAAGGATTTCTGCCAAGAAATGATTTTCTCAATTTTGTGTGCATTATTACGTTGTCTGGTTCGGTTTAAATTTGATATCACAAAGAGGGCGATAAGTTGTGATACTGGCCAAAATTCGCTTCCAAAGTAACTGCTCTTGGGTATAGAAAGTGATCTCAAAATAAGATTAAAGAAAATGAAACAAAACTTTCTTCAACAGTGTTGGAAAACCATCAAAATTCTGAGTAAGGTTTTTCTGAGTCAGTCCTAAAGGAAATTAAACGTACAGAAGACAATTTTTATACAAAGATACCGAGTGTTGATATAATAAACAGTATTCATTTTATCACTCACTCTTAAAACAATGTAGTTATCATGTATCCTTGTATGTAGTCTCGTACCCAGACCTTTTGCATTTCAGTTATGGTTACACGGCAGGGTATGGGTACGAGATTACTATTTATGTACAGGCTTTTATAAGAGAACATTTTAATTTTTCAAAGTTCCTTGTTTATCATCACTTTGTTTATCTGCTCTTGAAAAAATTTCGGTGATTTACTTCCTGACCTATATAATTTAGAAAAAAAAAGGAGATATGGTTGATAAGAAATACCCTCACGATTCTGTTACTCCTCGGTTCCTAATTCCAGAGTACCAGAAAGGTTCAAGTGAATTTTTCCTTAGGAGAAAACTCGGCAGTTAGTCAGCGGTCTTTCGCACGTGGGGCATTTCAACATGGCGGCTCCGTTGGTCGGAAGTCAGTTGTTTTCTCCATTTCGAGCCCTTGGATTTGTGGCAAATCATGTTCCATTGACTTTACAGACACAAGGAACAGAAACTCTTGTGACCACTGCTGTTGGTTCAGCCTTTCACGTTTATAGTGTAAGTATATTCTAGCTTAGTTTTCATGACAGATCCACGCGTGTAAACAAAGTTGTAACTGCATGTAGCTTACTTCATTCACGCTGACATTTTTTTCATCTCTCTTATCTTTTAGTGTGCGAAGTTAAATCTTCTCTTTGTTGGTGAGTTTGATGATGTCAAGTATTATTGAAGCCTTACATGTGAGGAATAAAATGAGATCATAGTAAACTTTTGACCACCCTTTGATTCAATTTAATTTCCGACGGTAACAAAACTTGTTAATTAATATCAACCAAATCGCCCAAACGTATTAGATGAAAGAAAAAATGTTTACATTTAGAAATGAACTGGTATTTATAAATTAATTCTGAAGTCTGAAGGCTACTCAAAACTTGCTACTTGTTAATGATTATATAATTGTATCATTGTAATATGCAGGATTGCTTAAATCCGGTGAAATATCATGTTTATCATCACACGGAGACTTGGTGATTACAGCTTCTGGAAATCAGTTGATTTCTTGGAAAAGAGGAAAACAGGTTTGTTTCGAAACTGATCACGTTTTTGATGAGTAAGGATTCTCAATCATAACCATCTTAATGACATCTTATTATTAGTGATAATATAGAGAACAATAATTCACCAAAGTGGTGGTGAATAGTGGTAGTGGTGACTGCAAAGATCGCAGATGTTTAACTGTATCTAGTGGTACGTTAAACAGCCAGCTGAGGGAGTGCAAAGCATATACCAGAAAGTATATACCATATACATGCAAAGTATATACCACAAAGGTGCCAAAAAATAAGTTCACTTTTTTCAATATACTGAAAAATGGTTGGAAATGAAACTCTTGATGCATGATTTTGTCTCATCATGTGCTCGAAGGTGAATAGTACTTGCTACTCACTTCCAACTGGTCTGAATCAGTATTTGCAAAAAGTACTATTCTCTTGTGAGGTATAATTTTATACTAAATATTTTATTATCAGTGTTATTATTACTACTTTTATTCAGATTATGTCCATGTATACATCTACATAGCTCCAAAGAACAGAAGCAAAAAATCAGGGCAGTTTGAAAAACCTCTTAAACCAGGGGAACTTTCAAACCATAACAAAGAAGTGTATTTACTATTACAATCATTTTACTTGTGGTTTTTAGATATGAGATGGTAGACAGCCAACTGGCATGTGCAAAATGAAGAAATATTACATTATAGACTTACAATAGACTTGTCATTTAACCATGGTGTAAAGCCATGTATTTCTTAATTTTATGCAGATAAGTAATGATCAGACTAACTGGCTTGTAACTTAATCAATCCACAATCAATACAATGTGTGTTTTGGTAAATTTTTTTTTTTTTGGTTTAGGTTGCTGTGTTGGAGGGACACAAGAGAGACATTCACTTCATCTTCTCATTTGGTTCAAATCTAATATCTGTTGATGAAGACAGCACAGTCAGAATATGGATTATTGAAACAACAGGTACATGTTCATTTTATTCAGGACTATTTTATCTGATTACATTGTGTAAGTATCAAAGTACTGAGAGCTTGATGACATGTATATCAAGGTATTTGAATAGGCTCAAATAATTATTCAAGGGAAACTGAATTTGGAAAAAGGTAAGGAAAGGATCAGTTATCAAAACTTAAAACTCTTTCAGGCTGGTAATTTACATGTCACTTCTCCCTTAAATATCCATTCATTATCCAGCAAACAGGTACTGAGAATACTTAAACTTATCAGGTAGAAGTTATCCTGATCTAGCCCCAAATTCTCACAATTAATTTACAAGGAAGTGTGTAGCAGTTATTGGGGAGAATTAACAATCAGATCTTAAGAGTTAAGGGGTTAATCAGTTAAAATGTGAGCGACAACTTAGTGGTAGTAATCATGAGAAGCATGGAGATTTATCCTTTGATCAAACTTATTCTTAGTTCCTCCTTTATTGAATCCATCTTTCAAACATTATTTTTGTAGAATTGTACCTTGAGATGGAATTTAATGCTGAAAACTTCTACATCACCTGTTTGATGCATCCCAGCACATACCTTAATAAGATCTTACTGTGCAGTAAGCAAGGCCAGATGCAACTGTGGAATATAAAAACAAAGTATGTGCATACCTCTTCCTCGATTACTCTCTATATATGTATAGCACTGAGTTACAAAGATCCTAATAAATTGTGAAGCCTCAGTGTAGGCAAGCAAGGTGTGCAGAGCTGTCAACTAGTCCTCTATGGCCTGTCCTCTAAATTTAGCTTATTAAGCATTAGTTGTTTTAATTAATTTTGATAATTTTATGTTATTTCCACAGCAAACTTATTTATACATTTTCTGGATGGTCAGAGCCTATAACTGCTGTGGAACAAGTAAGATGTATATTTTTTTAACTCAGCTTTAGAATCTAAAAAGAATATTTTATGACAAATAACTGACTAGACATCATTGTACAGATTGAATCACTTTTTGTCCAAATCCTCTGTGCTGGTGATTTGCTTGTTACTCTCCTTTACACATAAGAACTTCTCATCAACTCTTCTTCCCTACATACCCTTAAATTCCTCCATCTTGCTGTACAGGAGGTGAGCTCATTATTTTTGCCCCAACTACATGTACATGTAAGAGCTGCATTTCAACTTCCGCTAGAGACAGGGTTTTCAAAAGGCTTCAAAGTTGGCATTTACACAGCTCTAAGCTGAGGGTGGTGACAGATGAAGAAGAAAATGAAGCAAGGTTAAGTGCATCAATTAAAATGTAATGAAAGAGACTAAATCCCAAAGTAGAGACTGATAACTCAATGGGTGCCTCCCTTCACTGAGACCCTTGAGGTACACACACTTTTAAAATGTCTCTTTACATCAGTGTAGAAAAACTTTTCAGCTAGATTTTTTATCTTGATAACTTGATAAGAGATGAAATCCTCATGTATGATGCAGAGAGAAATTTAAAACAGCATGAAAGGAGAATTTTGACCCAGAAGTTGTGGTTAGTCATGAAGACTTAATAGAAGATTCTCTATACATTTGTCTGTACGTCTATGTTGACTGGACACAAAAATTACTGAGAAAATGAACCAACTGCTCAACTTTGGGCTTGGAGGTCCAAAATAGTAACTAAAGATATTTTTGTGCATATGTACAAAGTATATTTAAGAAATGACCTAAATGCTCAACTTTGGGTCAGGAGTCCAATAAGTTTTGAGGTACATGTATGTGCAATAATGAACAGCATTTACATGTTAATATTTTTGGTTTGCATTTACTAGGCTCCTGCAGTTGATGTGGTTGGCATTGGCCTGCAGAGTGGAAAAATTATCCTCCATAATCTCAAATTTGATGAAACAGTTATGAGTTTTCATCAGGAGTGGGGTCCAGTTATAGGTTTGACTTTCAGAACAGGTATGAGGCTAGTAAGACCATTCTCACAATTATTTTTGTTTCCCATTGCCTTCCCCTTGGTTATTGTGGGTGACAAGTGGTTGAAAAAATGAAAAATAGGTACTGTAATAAAAAGAGAGAGAAAAAAAGAAGAATTAAAAGAGGGAGTGTGAGTTTATGAAAAGCTTCTATATGTGTTAGTTTTATATTTTTTCTGTACCCAGCTTGTGACATGATGTACAGGCTACAAGGGTGATTGCAGTATGAATGATTCCTAAAAAAATGCAAAGTCTTGATCTTCTTCTTCTTTAATGTGATGCTGAGAATGTTTTCCTTTTTAATTTTACAAAAATGAGTCAGTTGAGCAATGGGAAAGAACAATTTGAGGATAAGGCCTAGCTAGTAGAAATAATTTAGCTTCTGACTAGGTAGTAGTCATGATTCCCTGCAACTTGAGGCAAAGGGTGAGATTTTTTCTTGAGAGTTTCTTAGATTGATTCTGCAAAAGTCTGAAGATTTGCAAAAGTGTTTTAGGGGGTTTCTCTGACAGAAGGAAATATGACCTGGATGATAGCTTTTGTTCAGGTTGTTTAAGCCTCAGTCACTACCACAGACAACAGACCTTTTCAGAACTACTCTCATCCAGATCATCAGATTACATAATAAAAGTGAAATTTGATAATTGTTGCACAATTTAATGGCAGGAAAGCATAAACACTGACAATTTATTGTTTTCTACAGATGGAAACCCTGTTATGGCATCTGCCAGTACAGAGGGCCACATTGCATTGTGGGATTTGGAAAAACGTCAACTTAGCAGCACGTTACGTGATGCCCATAAAGGATCTGTCTGTGGTATGAAATTCCTTTCCTCACAACCTCTCTTGGCTACAAATGGTCCTGATAACTCTTTAAAGGTATAGTGTTTTGATTATTCTTGTTAAGACAAGCATTACTAACAGACGTGTATTTTTAATGTACAAATTTGGGTTTCTCAGTCATACTTCAAAATAATATTAATTCTGCACACCACCAAATTATCTGATTTAAGAAAGTCCAGAGCGACTGAATCAAATTTTAATTGAAGTCACTTTGTAAAGTAAAATAGCCCACTAGGATTTTCCTGAACAGAACTATAATGGTTTTAAAATGATTATTGATACAATTTTTGAGAATTTGCACGATTCATTGTCCAAATTGTCGTTTGTGAAAAAGCTGTTTCACGTCTTCCCTTTTGTCTTATAATAACAAAAAAACTCTTCAATGAATACGCAGTAAAATGAATATCAGTAAAAAGCACCTTTAGCTGATTTTTCAAGACTTTGTGCGGGACAGCCTTTTTTGAGTAAATCTAGGAAGGCAAAGTGTTACTACAGCTGGAAAGTACCTCTCTGTGTTGGAGAACTGGAAATGGAAATGATTCAAGTTTTCCTTTAGTTTTTTCACAGTAACTTATTTTATTTGATTAGATATGGATATTTGATCAGCCAGATGGGAGTGGAAGACTCTTGAGGTCTCGTTCAAGTCACAGTGCTCCTCCAACTAAGATTCGCTTCTACGGAAATAATGGATTTAACATCCTCAGTGCAGGTATTATACTGTAGGTAGCGTTGTGACATTAGTCATAAATGCTCAATACCTGCATGCAGAGCTAAGCTGGGTGGTTGAAACATGCTACGTAGATTCAAGCGAACCAAAAATCACAATGACCTTTCCCTTTATCTAGGTATTTTGTAAAGCTGCAAAACTCTAGAACTAATAATTATCTTTCCAGTCGGCTCTCTTAATCTCCTCAGTATCAACGAAAGCTTTCCATTCAAATTATTTGCTCTTGTGTTTTTTCACGTTACCATGTTCCCACCAATAGCGTAGCTCCATCCTTCTGTATATAAACCACACTCAAGCCACAATTCCTTTATTCGCCTTGACGAAGGGATAACGCTCGAGACATCAGCTTTTCAAACTCTTTACGGTGGCCAATTAACATCAAAAAGCAAATTATCTCGTAAATCCCCATGTCTTTGGTGTCATAACCCTCACATGCACGTAGTTTTAGGTACTGGTGTTTAAAGAAAAAAGTGAAAACAACTTTTATTTACAATACTTTATGTACATCATCTTTAGGGCTGGATAGAAGCTTGAGGTTTATTTCTGTTATCAAAGATGAACGAAGCTGTGAATTTTCACAAGGTCAGTCAGCATTTGAGGATACACCATGGCAGAGGAACCAAGCATCCTAATCCATAACCATCCACGTTACTCGCCCTCTCGGTGTTTGCCTAAAAACACCATACTATTATTCTAAGTTAAAAAGCAATGCCCAACAGCCCTAGAAACAGCTCAAAATACTATCACTTGGCGTGTTCTTACTAAGAGGGCAGATTGCAGCTACAAGATCAATTCTGGCTCTAGAGTGTTAACACATAACTCAACATCTCCATCTCTGTTAGAAATTGTTTTCAGCTCGGAGTGCTTAAAACTCAGTCCCACATCAGTGGTGATAAACAACTTCTAAAAAGGAATTATCACTAAAAAAAAAGGGCTTTGTGTAGACTAGAGATAGCTATGGTTTTTTGCCTTAGAGTCCCGTTGACACCAAATTTTGTTTGAAAATAAAATAAGTGGCGTATATGATTACTTTTACTTCGTACTGGCTTTTAACTGGAATGAATGGATAGGACATGTCTCTCTTGACGCTAACTCGCAGATGTCCAAAACATACAACTTCTCACATCCACCAAAGAAAAGTGATGAGAATAGACAAATTGGTTAGTTACGAAATGCGTTGTAACTAGAAGACTTTTAATCATTCACTGATCAGATTTTGGGAACAAAAAGATAAACTGTTCCTTGTTGCTCTTTTTTTTCAGGTTCATTAACAAAGAAGTCCAAGAATCGTGGAGTGCATATAGAAGAGTTGAAATTAGCACCTATTGTGGACTTCGCCTCTGGTATGTGCTCACAGAATAACTGATCAAGTTATTGCAACTTTTCTGGTACACTCTCGTTGGAAACACTCGGATTTTTGTGCTCTAAGAATGCCTTCCTCAGACTTCTCATAGATTGAACGAGAACATTTGTGGTAAAGTGTGTGTGAAGTTTATGCTACACTGCGTCTGAGAATAATGTCTTTAGACAGCAAATCCAAAAAGTTAGTGCAAGATAACGAACAGCGGCTGAACAAAGTTATCTTTGATGTCGTTTTTAGAGGTTGTGCGCGAGAGTGCATGGGACAACATTGTCACTTGTCATCAGGGAAAAAAAGAAGCCAGAACATGGAGCTTTCAGAGGAAGTGCATTGGTAAACATAACCTGAAATCTCGTGCTGGGGAAAATGCAGGACCTGTTACGGTTTGTAATTTTGTTTTTTATTTCGTTGGAGAGGTTGAGGTGTTATCGTTTGTCGCACCATGTAGTCACTTACGTATTTGTATGCTGTGGATCGCGATGTTTCTAAACACATGTTCGAAACACAGGCGTCCCAAGCTCACGTCTCGAGATAAAGCAAAAGATTAATTCATGAAAGCATCACGCATTATGTGACGCAGAGTAAAGTTACGCGAGGAACCATATCTCTTTCTCCACACTATTCCTTACAACGTGTTCATGTTGTCAACGGTTCCTTGCGTAACTTAACAACGCGTCACAGAGCGCGTGACGCTTTCATGGAGTAATCTTTTGCTTGGGATGCCTGTGGTTCGAAATGGACCAATCACAGCTGTTGAAAACCACCAAAGCGGAGAGGAACGCTTTATTAGTTGGTTTGTACTTCGATATTCTTTTTCGTTGTATTTATCGTTTGTTGCACCGAGTGATCTCGTATATGCTATGGATTGCGACGTTTCGAAACATTCTCTAAATGCGCCGATTACAGCAGATTGTTTTTGTTGCCAATTAGGATTTTTACTTCTATCTTCGTGTTTTGTAAAGTTGGTAATCAGAAATAGAGTAAACTGTGTAAAACACTGAGTCCTTTGTAAACTTTTTGATCCTCAGACCACAGCTATGAGCTCTTGTGGGAATTTTGCCATCGTAGGAGACGCCCATGGTAATGTGGATATGTTTAACATTCAGTCCGGAATTCACAGGGGATCCCTTGGGGAACCAAAAGGTTTGTTTGATACACCTCTTATTCGCCATATTGCGCGGGAAGAAACGGCACTCCAGTGGTTAGCGTGCTGGATCGAGAGGTCTGGGTTGGAGAGCTGGCCGAGTCATTGTGCAGTGTTCCTGACTAAGACACTCTACTCTTCACCCAGAGCCCAGTTGTACAAAAGTAGATTTAAAAAAATCCGACAGATGAATCGCTGTACAGTGGATAAGTGTCATCAAAGCGTAATGCGTTATCCACTGGATAGAGAGTTATTCAGCGGTTAGTGTTATTCACCCTTCGAACAACCGAGGCTAGGAGCTTATATGGGTAACGACAACCTGTTAAGAGAGCTTGACGCAATTCTAGTCGGGGGAGGGGGGAGGGTAGGGGACAACCTGCGATGGAGTAGCATTCTATTGGGGGGGGGGGTAGGGGACAACCTGCGATGGAGTAACATTCGATTCGGGGGGAATAGAGACCTAAATCGACCGAAGAAAGACACCTATGAGAGAACTGTATTTCTGCGTTGCCTCTCTTGTCTGCTAAGCGCAATAAACGATGTCATTTTTCTATCGTTTGCTTTTCAGCGCACAATGGTCAAGTGAGGGGCGTGGCTATTGACAACATCAATCAACAAGTGATGACTGCAGGAGCAGATTGTAAGTTAAAGGTAAAGTGGCAACTTTCTATGTTAAATGTTTGTGTCTATTTTGGAAGTAAGTTAAATTTCTTTACAAGGATAAGGATTTCCAGCAAGATGATGCAGCGAAAGCCTTCTTGTGATGAAAACATTTTAGAACAACACCAATTTTGGCGTTATCTTTCTGCCTTTTTTACCCTTTTTTCACCTTCATCACAAAACAATTATGTGTTGAGTCATTTAAAACAAAGATGTTAGAAATTTGTGTCCTATGTTTGAATTTAAACCCGAGCCAGTTCCGATTTCATCGTCGAATGCAGAGTTACACGGAACTGGCTTCTGTGCACGGTCATGTAAAGGCTCAATTTCCAACGATTTCTGGTGTCCAGTCTTCGTTCCTTCCGGGAAGGAAACTTTTCGGGGATGGAGCTTGGGCTCATTTCCTGAACGTCGGGTAGTAGTCGAGCCAGGGCCATATACTTGGCTCATTTGCGACAAGTTTCCTCCATGCTGCTGGAATAAGCAAACTTGAAAGCGTCGTATGTGGAGGTAGACTAGAAGAGGTGGTTAATTTTGAGCTCAGTTGTCTCATAAGAAATGATGTTAGATGTATGTTATTTGTGACATATGTCTTTTCCTTGCAGTTTTGGAATTTTAAAGCTCGGAATCTTCTTCAGAAAATGTCGTTTGAGCCACCTATCACACAGATTTTATTACATCGAGACAGGTATGACCTGAGATGACTCTTTGAGTTTTAATCGCTAATTTGTGCAACAGAGTGCACACGTTTCATTGACTACTTTTTCTCCTTTCGCAGTTCTTTGCTGGCCGTCTCTTTTGAAGATTTCGAAATCCACGTTGTTGATGTCGATATGAAGAGAGTTGTGAGAATATTTCAAGGTCATACAAACAGAATTACTGATATGGTAAGTAAAGCCCCAGGCCCACATCGTCTAAAGAGTGCTTTCGAAACTATGTTGTGTTGTTCGAAATCTTTAAGCTCGTTCTGGTTAAGTGCCATTCGTGTTTTAAAGGAGTTACTTTACGTTACGTTTAGTAATGTTGAGTGCCTTAAAATGGAATGAAACCTTGAAATGATTATATGTTTGGGAAGACAAACACTTAGAAGTAAAGGTAAAAATAATCCTAAAAGGAACAAGGGATGGTCAAGGATGGTCAATGATGGCCATGGATGGTCAAGGATGGTCAGGGATGGGCAAGGATGGGCAAGGATGGATAAGATTGACACATATGGAAAATGACGAATCTCAAGAAATTACGGAAGCTTCTTTGAATCAGCTTACTCAGCTCTCCTTAGTTCCTTGTCTTTGAGTCCTTTTCCCCTCCTCTTCGCTCCCTTGTTCTGACTGACTTTGTAGACAGCTACGTTTAACTTCACATGGTTAGATATTTCGTTATTAATGTACAAGTTAAAGTAATCAGGAAGGTATTACTTGTGGTCTTAAACAGAGTCGATCATCGCCCCTCTTATACAGACTTTTTAGAGCTAATGACAATTCTATTTTGGATTTCAGTCCTTTAGCCCAGACTCCCGTTGGTTGATAACGTCGTCAATGGACTCGAGTGTGAGAACCTGGAGTCTACCGGCTGCAAGGTAAAGAACTTAGTGTTTGAAGAGGACGTGGCCTACATATTAAGTTAACAGAAAAACGAAACAAGCATGCAAAAAGATACACGATAAACTAACCGAACAATAGACAGACCTTCATTGAAATTGGAAGCTGTAGAACCCAATACAGTTAAGAATTTGACGCGATCTTTTTTTTTCCTTCTCGTGGCGATAAAATGTTCATGTGGATAAGCCCAAATCAGGGTTTTCAGCGAAACTGTATCGCACTCAGGACCGCCATGTTTGAGGTTGTTTGTTCACTAGTGTTAACGGATATATTTTGCTTTTTACTGCACACAGTAGAATTATGAATACTATGAACCTACTCATTATCGGGGTTTATGTATAAACGCTCCTAAACGGAACATTTTAAATGTCAAAAGCTTGTATTTAATTCAGTTACTCAAATAGCGCTCCGTTTTTGTCAGGCTAATAGACTGCTTTCTGGTGGAGTCACCTGTCACTAGTTTAGCCATGTCACCCATAGCAGACTTCCTTGTGACTACACACGTGGATGACTTAGGAGTGTATTTATGGTAAGAAATGAAGTGGAACTCAAGCAGCCGTCCTTTTTTTAGCTCTACGATCATGAACGGAAGAAGAAAGTGCATATGTGAGGAATAACCAAACCCTCCTCTCCCTCAATTTTTGCATTGATTTTTTTTTTTATTTTCCACTGTTTTTGTAATTTTTATCATTTGTTTTATTCATTTGCATATCCACTTATTTATTTACCCATTTATTTATTATTTTTTCTGTCATCAATAAAGAGAGACGTAGTAAGATCAATAGATTGAGGTTATATCCACAATCGTGTCTTTGTTTTATGTTTATTGGAAGCGTCTTTGCGAAACCGAAGTAGAAATGGGTATAAGGGTACACTTGAAGATTTGCTGGGGGGTAACCTATGATGAACTGACATTCCATCGTGGGTGGGGGAGGGGGTTAGAATTCCCCCCAGCCGCTTCATGCTATGTGAGACGAGATGAGCTTAGACGGCGTGTGCTTCATGACGCGCTCGAGCGACCCGCCGTCTTTTTTTCTCGTCTTTTTTATGGTGGATATGAAAATTGTACGGTGTCTGAAGCTTACATCTTCCTTTTGTTTAGGTCAAATAAAACTTTGTACGATGAAGTATCATTGATTCCTCTTCCTGCCGATTATCAGCCGACTTTGGAACAACTGCCTGTTACAGGAACAGATGCTGACAAAGGTAAAATAACAAGATCAATCTTGGGTTAAATCTGAAATGAAGACTAGTTGTCGTTACGACATTTGGTTTTTTGAGGAACGGCGAAAGTGGATGCCGAAGGTTTTGTTGAAGCCTAACGGGTTAAAAGGAACTTTTTCACGATGCGTTCGTCTTGAAAGATCGTATAACCTGAGATGGCCAGTCTCGGATTGAGTACTTTCTGACCAAAGGACTGCAATTTCAAAGCCACTTGTCAACTTCCGCAGTCTTTCACATTTTTTTACGTGTTGACTTCTACGCATACGTAGTAATATTTTCAATGTCGTTTTAGAATTTGGTGACGTAAAGGAGACCACAACTGAAGGAGATAATAAATCTAGTGCTGCCGACAACACAGCCAGTTATAAGAGCCCTGATCAGCTCTCTGATGAACTTGTAACTCTGTCTCTTCTACCAAAGTCAAGATGGCGACATCTCACCAGCCTGGAGCTAATAAAGGTAATTGACGGTGTGTGTGTATACTTCTCCTACTTTTCGTGCTGTTTTCCAATCAACCAGTAAATACCTAATCTTACTTAATTTCTTTTCAGAAAAGGAACAAACCACAGGAGCCACCTAAGGCGCCCAAAGCTGCTCCCTTCTTTTTGCCCACCACACAGGAACTGGTGCCTAAATTCCTTCAAACTGAAGAAGATCAAACTGATGAAAAAGTGAGTTTTTCTCGCAGGGTGAACCCTAAGTCCAAAAGTACTTTTATGCATAGTAACACGGAGAATAGTCTGTGCCAGGCTCTGGCAAGAGAGCGAGTGCATGTTAATCGACGGGGGTCGGGAAAAAAAAGGGAAAGGAAACGCTATTCATTGATTGGTTCTGACAGCCTAAAAGCACGCCACCTAGTCATTACAACGTTCGCGCATGCGGAGACATTTGACCGCTGTATTACTTGTGGCTCGCTGCTGCTTCTCTCTTCTCCTGACCGACTGAGAGCCTGCAACAGGGTATAACAGAAGTGATTGATCTGAAACTTCCCCTTACAATGTCTATACGATACACAAATAGGTGTTAATAATAGACAAACCCTGTACCCTGGACGGTGTTTTCTTGATAAAATTTCTCAATTACCTTCCAAGAATCATGTAACAATGAGAAGGGGGAATTACTAATTAGATACAGAAAATTCGTTTAAACATGCATTGCCTTTGCTTTTTTAGGATGCCAAGTCTAAAATTCTAGACATGAAACAGCTTGAACAAGCTTCAGAATTTCAAAAGCTTTTGAAGGAGGGTTCGAGCTCCGGAAATTGTGAGTACTAGTAGCAAGCTGTTATAAAGTAATAATGTTATGGTGGTAATTAGATTTTATAGATCTACGCGAATGTTACTTTCAGTCAGCTTCTTGATAATTTCCAAAATCTTAACTGCCTATGCTTTGTCGGTTGGTGCGTCGTTGGCCTGTATGAGCCCACACTTAGACAAGATCAGCGAAGTATTAAACAATGTCGATGAGTTGACATGGTAACAGAGTGGTCTTTGTAGTTTTTGGACATGGATAACACGAGGTGTCGTCGGATTAGAAACCATTCCGGATAAATTCACTCACTACCTTCACTTCGTTTTCCTAATTGGCATGTAAGAGAAGTGAACAAAACAGGTCAGCCATACTGGAAACTCAATTAGTAATATATGTTTCATTTAGCAGATAATTTGGATGAAAGAAATTGCAGATATTTAAGCAGTTGAATAAGATATTCCACTATTGTCATGAAAACCTCTTCGAATATGGACAATTCTAGATCGTCATTTCTTTGAGAATATGAGTAACGCTTCTTTGGCATTTGAAATTAAAAAAAAAGTGTACTGTTAGCATTTTTCTTCTCTTACAATAATTTGTGAATTTCTGTCGCCATTTGAAGATGCGTACAATAAGAAAATATTTCTATCGGCTCGGTGGTACTCTAACGCACGATGGTTCGCTTTCCACTTTTCGACATGCGAGCTTCGGCCATAGCGCAGTTCATTCGCGCAGTTAGTCGGAGTGAAGTCGGATCAACATTCCTTTTAAATCGCGGGAATGCGAAAATTTATTCCTTGTAGATGAACTTTTCCTGGGGCACCTCAAGTCCATGGGACCCTCCTCGATCGATGCAGAAATTCGATCTCTTGGTCCGTCGGCTGGTGGAGACGTCAAACTTGTTGAAGCTTTCATGTTGTTCTTGGAGTACCAGCTACAGTCGCGGCGGGACTTTGAGTTCACTGAAGGTGTCATGGGCCTTTTTCTCAAGGTATATTATATTCTGATACACATTCAAACTCTCCTCCTAGTATCCAACTTTCAAGCGGGGGGTGGGGGTGGGGGTGGCCAAACCCAATTTGAAGATTTTAGACCATAATTTCGTGCGATTGTGCATTTTTTCAACAAAATTTGTCCAAGATTGTCATAGAGTATGGTTAGGGACTAGCTGGAAGAGTTAATATTTTAATCTTGGGACTGCGTAGAATCTAAAATCACCTCTCATGTTCTCTTTGTGTCTCTGATGGCTGGGGATGACTCTAGTGTCACACAGCTGGATGTAAGAAGTGAGTACAATGAAAACCAGCGTTTTTCTGTCTTAGATAAATATTTGTTCGTCTTGGAGGATTTTAGTTGGAAATTCTAACTGGGCTTGTGCATAAACTCGGATGCAAAGGATGTGGTGCTCCACAAAAAATATGAAAGGTGCATCACTTTTAACAAGGCACAGGTCGCAAAATCCATGCAGTGTCGGATTATTTTCCACGCGATGAACAATTGTTCCAAAAATACATGGTCTAATTCTGTTTAATCTCGTAACCTATAGCTCCATGGCCCACTGATTGCCGAGCAACCTGAGCTGGGAGAGGTAGCCGCTCGTTTGCTTGAAGAGCATAAAGCAGCATGGTCAACTATCCGGGACTTAATGAACCAGTGTTCTTGCCTGGTTAGTTACTTAAAAAGTGCCGTTATATGACGGACAAAGTGCAACATCCAACAGCCGCTGACCGCAATGACAGTGTGCCCGTGTGGAAGAAGTGAGGATATTTGCATTCCCGCACAGCATCATTTTTGAACTACCACGCTATTTCATCTTCGTCGAACAAGTATTGCAGATGGTGCAATTACCACCGAAAGACATTTAGCAGAGATTTCAAATATAATTTTGATGAACGATTACACGTTTACACCTTAGGTTGCACAGGCTTCTTAGGCTGTAAATTCCCTGTACGATTTGTGAAAAAATCCTTAGACTTCTATTCTCTAGAAGGTATTAACGTGGTGGATCAGTCTTTATTTATCGTAGGGAGGGGGGTGGGGTGAGTCGGAGGATGTGGGGGATCACATGGTAGGCTTTTAGATGGAACCTAGGGGAACCAGACGTCGCGGACTTAAAAGGGGTGACTATGGAAAATTCGGATCAATATCAGTATCTGGGCAACTGCCCACCTACCCCTCCCCTAACTCAACAACAGTCAATTGATAACAAGTTAGGGTTAATGTTGGGTTTGGGGAGGGGTAGGTGGGCAGTTGCTCAGATACTAATATTGATCCGAAAATTCATTACAAATGAAGGGGAACCATTATAATGCTTCAGAGCTTTAAATGAGAGGCGGGAACCAAATCCTCTGAACTCTTTCCCCAGGCAATAAATAATGACCGCAAAAATGAATAGATATATACACATATATGATGGCCACCGAAGATGTTTCATGATGATAACAACAAGAGGATTAGTAAAACAGCGAAAACAAATTTCTTTTTCGTAAACCGAAAGGTATGAAGGCTAAGGTAGTGAACCCTCTGTTTTCAATTGGTAAAAGTTGAGAAAAAAGTATGGGTTTAGATTCTGTTCTCGAAGAAAAGCCTCTAAATGAAAGGCATCGTGTCTCTATTCTCCTCAAAAACAAGTTTCAGCTGTAGGTGCGCGTCTCTCCTATGGCAGGGTAACGTGAAATTTCGGCAAAATTTTATGAAAAATTATAAAATGTTCAGAGAAATGCGCGCGCCGTGATTGGTCAGAACGAGTTCACTATATTTCCATAAAGCATGCGCCTTACGTCACACGAGTGCATTGTTGAGATATAATGTACACAGCCTACGTCATCGATACGAGTGCGCGCAATTCATGATATATTTTATGATGGAAATAAAACAACTTCTTCCACGAGCATTGTTGAGTTATATAAGCACTTGGGAATTTTTAAGAACACGAGAGACGTGCTTTCCCGCACTTCTCTCGTGTTCTTAAAAATTCCCAAGTGCTTATATAACTCGACAATGCACTCGGCGGGTTTTTTATTTCTTTAGTAAAGCCATGGTAACAATCGTCAGGATAAGTTGTTCACTTCGTACCCAGGCTCCAACTGACGCCTGACTCCTGTTTTCAAGGAAAAAATAAGTTTTACTATTTCTTCAATATAATCACGTAAGCATCGTTATTTTGCTTCTTTCCCAGAGGTATCTGCAGTTCGCGTAGCTTATAAAAATGCTATACACAACTAATCATAGATATCCAGGCTCAGAGGCTTTGATTTGAAATGAAACTGAAAATATTGTGTAACGTAGGGTCGCAGCACAATAGTCACGTGTCTTAACAGCTGCTTACCATGGTTACACATTAACTATCTGTCACACCAATGACGTACAACCCTGTAACAGTCAGCTGACCTTCATTTCCCAGTCCATTAAACAAGATATAAATAACCCAACAGGAGTTTTATTCAAAGATCGATCTGCATGCAGATAAAGAGTCTCATCTAACGCTGGGAAAGTCTCGATTGCATCCTTTATTTGTGACAGGCCGATTCTTACCTTTAGATAAAAGGGTGGACTCTTAGCGGGAATATACAGAAAGACTTCTTGTTGTGACGTAGAAGGATGTCTCACGAGGAAGAGTCAACAGAGAAGTCACGCACCTGATTCTTCTATCATAACAGCTGATATCCATGGTTACGTCACCTCGTAACAGTCAGCTGACCTTTAAATCTATTTGCCGCCCCCTAAAATAAGATATAAATAATCCTCTCACCTGGAGTAATGTATATCAAGATAGATCTGCATACGGATAAGGAATCGTATCTAACGCTGGGAAAATCGTGTTTGCATCCCTTACTTGTGACGAGTGAATATTTTCCTTTTGAGATAATCATTATATTTCTCTCTTTTTATAAGAAAGAGTAGGCCAAATCTGTAATAACGACCTATTCAACTTCCGCTTTCACTTACTTTTGGGTAATTTTCTTGAGTTAATAAACACTTGGAACCTTGTATTTGGTAATAATGTTATCACATTTAATCGTTTTTAAACAAAGTTGAAATCGGCACTTCGGATGACATGTCGGCTTCAACGGTAGGTTCGAATTTGAAAAGAATTTTCACCCCTAATATAAAATCTCCTCTACATCCCCCATACATGTACGGAAACAACCAAAATGATCGTTATATCTGGAAATGGTTAGAAGTTGTTGTTTTGTTTGGTTTTGCTTTGTTTTTTTGTTTTTTTTTTCGGTGTGACGTCGCGCTAATCAACATTTTGAGATCGAAACGATTACTGTAATTAACATTTGTGCTTTAATGTTTATAGGAAGCTTCAGTACACTGTAGAGGTCTGTACATAGCTACAGCACCTTGTTTTTAAAGTACGAAGGACAAATTTCAGTGGAAGTCATGGGCAAACGGAGAAACGTGACAATATTAAAGTGCCTCTTAGTCTGAAACTTCTCTCTTGACAGCAACCACCTGTCAGACCAATGACGTGATCCCGTAACAGTCACCTGACCTTTATTTCCCACTCCCAAAACAAAATATAAATAATCCACCACAAGCATTATTTAAAGATCGATCTTAATGCAGACAGCAAGTGTTACCACCTAACGCTGGGAAAGTCTCGGTTGCATCCTTTATTTGCGACAGACCAATATTCACCTTTTGAGGTAACTGTAATGATTTTTCTTTTGTTACCTAAGAAAGAGACGGTCAAATCTTAAATTTTGCGATCGAACGGCGACTTAGTTCACTTCCGCTTTAATATCTCTTACCACTGGGATATTTTCTTGATTTAACAAACACTTGGAACCTTGCATTTGGTGAGAATATTATCGCTAATTCAATCCTTTGTGAACACGATTGAAATCGATATTCGTAGAACATGACGGCCTCTTCAGTACTGAGGTATAACTTTGGTGGGAATTTTCATGCTTTATCATTATTTCAAATCTTTTGCACTATCCATGTACGTGCAAGTTCGTGGGCATTAGTCATGGGCGAAGTTTGTCACCTTCTTGAGCTTTTTTTATGGCCAAATTAGAACAGTTACTGTGATCAGTTTTTACTCTTACATCCTCAGAGGATCGATTGATTCGAAATATCGATACTTTCGTTATGCAGGAGCCAAATTGAACATCTACCAAACGTGAATTGAATAGTGCGTTCGCGTTTGTCCGACAAGTTGCATCAGTTCTTCTGAAGCCTAAAGATAAGACGCCTTCCGCACCGATAAATTTAAAGCAGGGACGACTGCTTGTGCAAGTTCGTGGGCATGAGTCATGGGCGAAGTTTGTCACCTTCTAGAGCTTTTTTTGTGGCCAAATTAGAACAGTTACTGAGATCAATTTTTACTCTTACATCCTCAGAGGATCGATTGATTCGAAACATCGATACTTTCGTTATGCAGGAGCCAAATTGAACATCTACCGAACGTGAACTGAATAGTGCATTCGCGTTTGTCCGATAAGCTGCAACAGTTCTTTTGAATCCTAAAGATAATAAGATGCCTTCCGCACCGATAAATTTAAAGCAGGAACGACTACGGACTTTTTTCCAGCAGATTTTAAGTGTTATTTTTAGACTTCCAAAATCATGCCAAGGTAAATCATTAACTACTGTTACGAATGGCTGGCCACACGCGCTAAGATATGTTCAAAGTAACAACGTTTTAATCCAGAGTTGAAAGGAGGGTGCTTGGAACATTAAAACGAATTACGAAAATAACATACTTAAATAAAAACGGTCAGTTAGAGGTTTCCGAAAATGGCCATGTCAATTAAAGTTGTCATTTTGCAACCAATAACGTTACTGTGGGCGTAACCAGTGAGCCATGACATGAATTAAAACTTAATTTGTCCGGAAGCTCAATCGCATATCCTTCCAGCGGACATAATCACGTGTTTCGGCCGATTTGTTAAGATCGTTTATCGATTCTAGAAAATTGGTAGCCTCTAGATTGGCGAAATTCAAACCATAACGTTTTTAAGAATTTTCCTTCAAAATATAAAGTTTGATCATTTAAGTGTGTTTAATGTATGCCAAGGCATTGTTGTCTACGGACACGCGTGGATGACACCACTCGCCAAAACATGTCTATGTGACCTAACAAAGCATCTTTTCTAAGCTTTACTTTCATTTTGATTTTGTGGTTTCAAAAGATGGCATTTAAGAGGCAGGACAAATTAAAAACATCGCTCGTGTTAATTTCAAAATTTTTAGAAGTGAAAATTTTACAACTATATGATACAGTGCATTGCAGTACAATAAAAGTCTCTAGGACAGATCACATTACTTTAGCTTCACATGTTAAATATCAAGTTTTTCTTCTTTTTTTGGCTATCTGCATAGAAAAGAGAGTCAGCTACATCTCTTAATGATAAAGTGTGAATAAATGTTTTAAAGCAGTTATGCACTAGCATTTACCTTTTCTAGACCCTTTAAATATCAAAGAATGCTATTTTCTACTTTGTAAAGAGTGACTAAGAATATGATTCTTGATCAGCTAGCAATTATAACTAATGTCTTCATTTTAAGAAAGTTGCCAGTTTTTCAGGTTGGTCAATATACGTGAATTGTCAAACGAATTTTCTTGAACTGATAGTTCTTACGACCATTTTCTTGTTCAGTATGGATACCAAGCAGTTTTCATGGGTTTCTTAATCATGTGTTTGGGCAACTAAAAAAATTGATAAACTTTTAGTAGATGCTAGAGCCAATGTATGCAATTATTTGACAACTCTCTCTCTTGCATCACATGTCATATATAATTATGGATGTCATTAGATGTTGAATTTTTTCTTTATTCCTCCTATGAAAATAAATCATGATGCTCATTTACTTAATGATTGCTTTTTATTTACATAGTCAGCTATGGCGCAGGTTGAAGGTGGTGCCATTCCCAAGAATAGAAGAAATGCTCCAATTTCAATAAACGTCCTACTTCTGAAGAAAAATAATTATCATGTTGTCAATGGCAGCA